TGTGACTCAACGGAGTGCCCGTGTTGATGAGAGGACCACCCCCTGTCTGTGTACAGTAGGAGCTGGACCACGAGAAACCCTCCACAAGAAACCCAAACCCTGAGACCCCGGGACGTCCATAGATTTTTGGTGTGGGAGCGTCGCGCTTTCCATCGCAAAATCATCGAACACACAAGAAATCCATGGCACCTTGGAGGCAACCAGGGTGTTTCTTGGCATGAGTTCCCACTGTGATCCTAATCGAGAACCCCATCATGAAAAGGAGCCGGCCTCCATCCACGCAGCTGTTACCCATGGTCGGGTTCCTGGTTTTTTGCGTGCAAGAGGGGTGCCAAACGAAAGCCCAACGTTGAGAAGAAACCGTCCTCAATCCCTTGAACTGCCGCAAACGTTTGAAACAGTAGAACGCGTGTGCACGGCGATGGGGCAAGCGCTACATGTTGGAAACGATCCCCTGCCACCCTGGAGGCTTATGCAACTTGTAAATACGAGTGTGCGCGGTGCTGAGGCCCATTTTGGAAACGCCCGCCCCTTCCTTGAAACTGTTGCAGAGACAACTGCTGAAGGCGAGTGTGCATGGCGCGGAAGCAAAAGAACAACAGCCCCACTTTGACAACGACGCCCCCGTCCACCCGTGAGGCTGCTGCGCATGTGCGGCACATGATCATGAGCGGCGAGGACCTCTTTGGCGACAGGCCCGGCCCGCCATGCCGACACGCCCGAAGTGCGACAGCGAGAAGAAACTCTGGAGGTGCCATGGAGGGGGAGGAGCGGGAGGGGGCCGTCGTCGAACGATGGGAATGGCAATCCGCCGTCCTCAGCTCAACATGCACTCTCGTACCTGCGGGTGGGGGGGGGAGGGGGGGGCAGAGGAGGAGGGCGGAGCAGCGGGAGCAAGAGGAGGACGTCGGGACGCGAGAAAGGATGGCCGGAGGGGGCGGGCGGGGCCAGGGGTGGCAGGGGACGAGGCACAGACGTCCGGCGACTCTACAATCAACACCTGTGGTAAGGACGCGCCGCAGGGACGCAAGGCCCCTGAACGGTCCTTGGACGTCCCAGTGGAAGCTTCTCTCGTGGCACACTGTCGAAAAAAGCTAACACGACGCAAGGGTGCCCTTCGGAAGGGTACCCGTCCCTGCGATGGATGTGCACTACACTTCCTCTCCAAGAGGTCGGCCCCGGCCCCGCGGAGTTCGCGGCCCCTTCCAGCAGGGGGCCACCTCGTCCCCCCGAGTCGCGGTCGGACGCCTTGGGGGGACCAGTGGCGGCCGCAGCACGCGCCGCAGACCTGCCGAGAGATCTCCGGCGCAGCACGTCCAGGCTCCCGAACGACTGGGGACGGGCGGGGTCGGAGGAGGCGGACTGCACGCCTAGAGGGGATGGGGGGAGAGAGAGAGAGAGAGAGAGAGAGAGAGAGAGAGAGGGAGAGAGAAAGTGTGCGTGCGTGTGTGTGTGTGTGCGCGCAAAAGACCTTACGGGGGCCCCTGCTTGTCGCCACTGGTGCGCCTCGGACAGGCTGCGGAGGGAGGCGGAGGGAGGCGGAGGAGGAGGCAGAGGAGGAACCGCCGCGGAGGAGGAGGAGGAGGAGGAGGAGGAGGAGGGTGCGGAGGAGGGGCGAGGAGAAGTCGTTGCAGAAATTTCTCCTCCGCGGCTGCGGCAGGACATCCTGCGCAGGAGCGGCGGCGCGCAGCGCTGGGGGCAAGGGAGAAGAGCAGCAGCGATATGAAGAGAAGGAGGAGCGGAGGGGGAGAGGTGAGGAGGAGGAGGAGGATGAACAAAAACCATAATAAACCAAATCGAGTCAGCAATGCTGGGATATAGCCTCCCGTCCCAAGTCCCTTCCTCACACGCCCTTGCAAGTTCTCTCTTCACTGCAAGAGGCGGCCCATCTGGAACATCAGCACAGTTGGGCCTACAATGCCGAGGGCCACGCTTTGAAAGGAATCGTTGTGCATCTTCGTGGCGCGTAATCAGTAAAGCGGGAAACTACGATCATAAAAAAACAGCGAACTGTCCAGCAAGATCACCCACTCGAAAAAGACCGATCCCCCATCCGTGTTACCGCTGCGCGAATTTACCATCGCGGTCATGATCTTCGGGGAAGTTTCGAACGACATGTCCGCCATGTTCAGACAGAGTCGAGTTTGATCCGTACAGCGTTCATCTCGTTGAAGCTCCGAGCCTTTGACATGATCCAGCTCGCCAACATGAGCCCCATTCTGAAAGGAAGAACCTGAATCCTGCGAAACGTTGCGTTGAAGAACGAATGCGCGCGGCGATGAGGCAAATGCCGCATGTCGAAAACGACGAATGTTCAATGCTCGAAACGATTGCATGATTTTGACACGAATGTTTTGCGGCCCCCACTTTGAAAAATGAACCACCCTCCATCCGTGAACTGTTGCAACATGTTCACTGTTGCAGCATGTTAGCTGTCGGCTGACCGGTCGCCCTGAGGCATGGAGGGCCGGGAAGTGGGGGGCCTTGGCGAAATTGCCTCCCGAGGCCGTCCCCGGGACCCGAGCTCGGTGGGCTGGTCCTGGATGCGTTGCGAAGCCCCCCGCCCTCTCCCTCCTCCGGGGGCTGGCGGTTGGCCGCGGGGGTGGGGCCCCCCCTGGGCCCCCTCCAACGAGTCGACCAGACCGCTTGCTCCAGTGTTGGCCGTGGGGAGGGAGGAAAGGCCGGGATGCTTCAACAACGAGCTGGCCTGCCCCTGGACCCGGCGGCCGGCGCACCTCCTCGAGCGGCTGACCTGTAACAGACGCGGACCGCCGTTGACTGGCCCCAGGGAGACGCACCTCTCCTAGGGCCTGGAGGAGGAGGAGGAGGAGGAGGAGGAGGAGGAGCTCGGCAACGGCTAGAAAGGTGCCACCACATTAAACATGCATCGAACAAACTCCAAACGAGTTAGGGAGGGTCCAAGTTCTCCTCGGGCGGCACAACCTGCCGTCGGCGCTCTTGCGCTCGAGCGCCGAGCGATTCAGCCTCTTCCCGAGAGCTGAACCCGTAAAGTGAAAGGCCTCGCTGAAGGTCGACCCCAGTCCCAGCCCAGACCCTCCCAATCCCGCCCGACGAAGAAGCCAGAGAGCCTCTGGACCGAGGTGGCGCGAGCAACGGGAGGTCGTCCAGACCCATCTTGGCGGCGAGGTAGTCTCGAGCTGGGTCCGATAACACGGTCGCTCGCGAGACCCGAAAATCTTGAGGAGGAGGAGGAGAGGAGGAGGAGGAGGAGGAGGAGGAGGAGGAGGAGGAGGAGGAGGAGGAGGAGGAGGGGGAGGACGAGGAGGAGGAGGAGAAGGAGGAGGAGGAGGAGGAGGAGGAGCAGGAGGAGGAATGAGAGGAGGAGTGAGAGGAGGAGAAGTGGCCGCTCGGAAGCCTCGGCCCGCGGCCGCCCACCTTCTCCTCCCTCCGTGGGGGGGGGCCCCCCCGGGGCCGGCACGCGCCTTTTCCAGGGAGGGCGGGGGGCAGCAGCGCCGAGCGCCCCATGGCGGGAGCGGCCACACTGACCTTCCAGCGACTTAAAAACCTATCCCAGAGCTATTCTACGTCTTGGTTTTAGGCTGTTTCATTTAGTTGTTTAGGCTTTTAGGCCTCCCGTGCTAAAAAATAGCTCTCTGGAAGGTCAGGGCAAGAGGGGGGTGTCCAAGAGGGGGGGGTGCGAATCATGACCGGCGGCACGTGCGCGGCCCAGCGGGGGGGGGGGCCAGGGACGTAACGAAATAAGAAGAGGCGCCCGGAGATCTGGGGAAATATCATGGCCCACGCCATGATATCCCCCCCCTGGTCATCACCCCCCCCTTTTCCGCCCCCGACCATGGGCAGCAGGCCCCGCCTCTCCCTCGCGTGGTGGCTCCCCGCCTCGGTCCTGGCGGCGGGGGGCGCCTCGGCCCCGGGGCGCAGTGACTGCCTACCAGGCCACCCCAACCCAACCCGAAGACCCGAATTTCGGGTCGGGGGGGGGGGTATGGGCTCCATACGTGTTTTTTCGATCTTCCCCGACCCCCCCCCCTCCCCTCCCCACTGGAAGTGGACGGCAAATTGAAGCCTTCGGGCTGGGTCGGGGTGGTTTGGTGGGCGGGGGCGTAGGGGGCTCCCTGAGGCGGGGCCACCCTCCGGAGGCCGGGCGGGGGCCTCGCGGTGCCCATCCGCCCCTTTTCCCGGTCTGGGGCCGAGAGCCACCCTCCCCTTCCTCGCCCTGGTCCTCGGGCGTGGGGGGGCGCGAAGGAGGCGCTGCATAAAGCGCCACGTGGAGGGGCCCTGGGACACACAAAGAAATAGACACCAAAAAAAAGGATTCCCCGTATTTTCCCATATGTTCTGGATTTTCGTCTTCCCCACCACTTCCCATATTTACCCATATTTTCTGGGGAATCGACGATTAATTGTGTCTGTGTTTTTTCCCCTCCCGACCATGGGCCATGAGGCTCGCTTCCCCAGTGTCCTCGTCCACGCCGAACGTGGGGAGGTCCGGTGGGAGACCCCCGACTGGAAACGGGGGCCCAGTCATGGCCAGATCCAGGACGCGTCCAGGCTGGAGCCCGCTTCCCTCCCAAGGAAAGGAGACCCGCCACCACGGGCACGACGCCGCCCATCAGGAGTATATCGGCATGGCAGAGTTCAGGGGCCGAGCCTCTTCGCACAAAGCACGCAACCAGCTCAAAGGCAGATAGCTGCAGGAAGGAGGAGAGAGGGAGGAAACGGGCAGGCCACAAAAGGAAATCCGAAGTCAAAGGACAAGCCCCACTAAAGAGAAAAGAACATGGATGAAGGACTAAGGATGAGGAGCTCGAGGAGCTCGAGAATGAGCGAGGAGGAGGGGAGAGGGGGGGGAGGAGGGGGGGAGCAGAAGATCGACGAGGGGCAGGACGGAATCAGGCTTCCCCGCCCCGGCGGGGCTGGCCTGTGCGTCGGGTCCCACCGACAGGTCCTTCAGCGCCTTCTGCATCGCCGTGCGCAATCTGGTCGCCTGCTTGCTCTCTGGATTGACCTTCCGGGAGTGCCTTGGCGGCCCCCAGGGGGGAACACAGGACCTGCAGCGTCTGTAGGGTAACCCAAACCTCTCGCGCCGCGTAAAGAAAACACAGGCGGAACATGCTAAAGCATCTTCCGCGACTGGAAGCCGTGTCTGGTCCCCTAGGACCGTGAAACATCGACTCGGGGTGGACGAATGCCCCCAGGGAGCGTTTCGAGACGTTCAGGGGCCACACTGTGAGCAGGATCGAAACGTCGCGTTATGGGCGCCCGTGCCCTCCATGATAATGATGATGATGATGATGCTGCTGATGATGATGATGATGATCATCATCATCATCATCATCATCATCATCATCATCATCATCATCATCATCATCATCATCATCATCATCATCATCATCATCAGTACCACCATCCTCATCATGATAATGATCATGATCATCATCATCAGCAGCAACATCATCATCAGCATCATCATCCTCATCCTCATCATCATCAGCAGCATCTCACCATCACCATCACCACCACCGCCACTACCACCATCATCATCATCACCATCATCATCAGCAGCAGCAGCATCATCAGCATCATCATCATCGACATCCTCATCCTCATCCTCATCCTCATCCTCATCCTCATCCTCATCATCATCATCATCATCATCATCATCCGCATCCTCTTCATCATCCTCATCCGCATCATTATCATCAGCATCCTCCTCATCATCAGCAGCATGAGCAGTACCACCATCATCATGATCATGATCAGCATCCTCATTATCAACATGATCATCATCATCATCATCATCATCATCATCATCATCATCATCATCGTCGTCATCATCATCGTCAGCATTATCGCAATCATCGTCATGATCAATCGCTGGCATCATCATCACCATCATCACCACCATCATCAGCATCACCAGCATCAACAACAGCAGCATCATCATCGACAGCAGCAGCTGTACCACCATCAGCAGTATCAGCATCACCATATGTGCAAAGCCATTATGGCCCCAGCTGCGGGGAAAATCGCGGATAGCGGAGCAGCTTAAGGGAAGCGCGAGCGCGAAGGTGCTGCGCACGAGCCCCAGCAGCACTGCCTCGGAGTTGCGAGAGTGCCCAGGAAGCGCTGCGTAGCAGCTTTGAGCGAGCCCAGGAAGCGCTACCTGGGAGCTGCCTGGGAGCTGCGTGCGGGCTTGTCGCGCGTTTCGCACCCTGTTTCTCGTCACTTGGGATGGCTGTGGTGGGCTGCCCGTCCGCATGGCGACGCGCAGCGCTGCGCGCAAGGTAAACCCTGAGGAGCTCAAGGCCTCCGTGACCCCCCGCGCCGCCCAGCGGTGGCGCCAGGCTGCGGCCGAGGCGGCGATCCGCGCGCTGGCTGGCCAGCGCGCGACGCCTGGCTCGTGGCAAGACCGCGAGGCGGCGGTGCGCCCAGCGCTGCGGCTGACCGCCCAGGGCCGCCGCGCCCCTTGGAGGCCGGCTTTACGGGCTCGAGGCTCTGGCAAGCTTGCCTTCCTGGAGGGGGAGCGGGGGGGGAGCTGGCGAGGCCGCGGAAGAACTCTGGACTTCACGCAAGTCGAAACTCACATTCACCCCGGCCCGGACCAGCGGAGGGGGGGGGGAACCTCAGGGGAACCCCACGCAGTTGAACACGCTTGAGCTCCAGGAGAGACGCGCTCTGGAGTCGAGGCGCGACGCGGCGCTTCGGGCCGGCGCACGTGCCCGCGGAAGGACTCGCGTGCGCTTCCCGGGGCCAGGGAGGCCGCGGCTGGGCGCGGCGACCGTCCAAGCGGCGGGGGTCGAGGCGGAGCTCCTGGGCGCTGCGGACGCGGCGGCGGGGGACCGGTGCCGGGGCTGCGGCCGGCAGCGCGGCGCTGCAGGGGGCGGCCGACGTGGCAGTAGCGAAGGACGACTTCGGTGCCGAGGCGGCGCGCGCGAGGGCACCTACGCAGGGCGAGGGCCTCGTTCGCGGACGTGGCGGCTCGTGCTGCCAACCGCGATGGTGAGCCGCGTCTCGGGCAGACCTGGAGGCCCTGTGGGGCCGGCGCGCGGCCGCCGCTGCCACGAGCGCCGCCCCTCCTCCTCCTCCTCCTCCTCCTCCTCCTCCTCCTCCTCCTCCTCCTCCTCCTCCTCCTCCTCCTCCTCCTCCTCCTCATGACGTATGAGCGCGCCATGAGCACAGCGATCCTCAGAACAACTGTGATAATAACAACTCGGCTCAAGTGTGATCACATGCTCTGTGTGCCACGCTTGAGTTGTGGTTCTCATGCGTGAGCTTTGTGATCGCAACTGTACTAGCGCCAACGTGTGCATGTTCATTGAAGCCCTCGACACAGGCGGCTTCGCGAATGAGGACCAACATGCCATGGGCTGTGCGCTATCTAAGTAGCTTGGCGAGGCAACACACACAGTGAGCTCACACACGTCCTGAGGATCATCGACGAGGCGGGCTGGGCGGCGCGGGAGCTGCCGGAAGGGCCTCGAAGGCCAGCCGGCGAGAGCGCTCTGGCGGGCCGTGGGCACGGCGGGCGCGGTCGTCGGCGGCATGCATGCCGAGAGTCGCCGAGGCGCTCGTCGACGGTCCGGCAGGGCCCGCGTCAAGTGGCTCGCTGGAGAGGGGGGGGGAGGAGGAGGAGGAGGAGGAGGAGGAGGAGGAGGAGGAGGAGGAGGAGGAGGAGGAGGAGGAGGAGGAGGAGGAGGAGGAGGAGACCGCGAGACACACACCGAGATACTAGCGACTCGAGACGCGAGCACAGACGAAGTCACCATGCACAAGCACGAAGACACAACAATGACAGAGGACAACAACACGGCGCACTCACCAAACGACGAAGCACCTGCGAGCAGCGCAGACGTACCTACCAGCGCAACCCCATCCACGACATCACCAGCACCGGCTCCCAGCCAGCAGCACCGACCAATCCAGCATAGCAGCACGATCCGAGCAGCGAAGCCTGCGAGGCCACAGCACCACCTGCCCTAGCGACGGTCCGAGAAGAAACAGCGGAACAGCCTACACACGTGATCGACTACGAGGTCAAGACCAGACAGCACGAACTCGACTCACAGGAGCGACACACAACCACCAGCGAACCCAGCTGCTCCAACCCGACGTCCAACGACAGCACACCAGCAGCAACCGCCAACCAACCAGCCATAGAAGTCGTACCACAGAGGCCCAATGGCTTGTTCCCCATCACCATGATCACACACGAGAAGGTCAAACCCGACGCAATCAACTTCCCGATTGAAGCAACCATACGCCACTCGTTGAACACTGAGCTGGAGGACTCTCGAACACGGCACAATCACGGCGAACGAGGGAGACAAGGTCACAATCGTCAGCATGTCCTACAACAGCAAAAACGATCAATGGGCACAGGGCACCATAACTCAGACCAACACCATGCGGAGCACCAAACAATCCCTAATTTCAGACATCATCACCTAATACCAGTCCCAACACAACGACATCCAGGATAAGCTCGACAGCCTTACGACAATGGTAGGCAAACAGGACGTCAGCTACAACCAGGCCGTCAACATCCAGAGGGAGATGACCCTGGCCAAGGATACCATGTCCAAGCTCATCGACAGCCTCAACGAGTCCATCAACAACCTATGCCCTTGAACTGCAGCGATAGCCATCCTCGCCATCACCCACCAAACACTGGACGACCGCACGGAGTGCCCACGCGCCCGACGTCGTCGCAGCCAACAGATACGCCTTCCCGACCTCCGATCTACGCTCCAACTGCTCCTCATCAACCAGTACTCCCTGAACATCATCCTCCGCATCGTCAGCATGAACATCCTTGTCCCCTACGTCCTGGGTTACCCCATGTTCACGAACCGCACCCTGCTGAAATACTACCACCTCTGAGGGGCAGGGAGGGATGGGAGAGGTGGAGTATGGAGGTGAGTTAGGGGCTGAGGCGGTGTTGGGGGTGGTGGTGGGGGGAAGACAGGGCGGGCGCTTCGACCCGCAGCTCCACCTCTTCGTCCTCCCCCTCCTCGTGTCGCCCGCCGCTCGTGGCCCCCTTTTCCATCTCTTCTTTCGGGCCCCCGTCCGTTTCTCTCCCCCTTCGTGCCTCGTCGGCCTCCCCAGCGGGCGGGACGGCCCAGTTTCGGAATGGCCCCCCCTCCTGCGGAGCCACACGGCACCCGCAGGAGGGGGGGCCACTGGCAGCACCAACAGACTGGATCTCAGCAGCCACGAGCGACCGAGGAGCGGGCGGAGGAGGCCCGGAGCCTCCACGCCGGGCGCGGGCGCCGCCTGGCACCCCGGTGCGGCTCGCGCGCGGGAGGTGCGCGCGCGGGCGTGCCCCCTTCGGGACGCAGGCGATCCGCAGGACGAGGCGGGAACGCCACCGGGCAGCCGCGCGCGTGGCGCTCGACGGAGGGCGCCCGGCCGGGCCATGCGACCCCCACTGGCCCGAGCGGGAGCTCGACGGAAGCGACGGAGAGGAGGAGCCCCAGCGGCGCAGGAGCGGCGATGCATTCCGCATCCGCGCCCTCGCGGTCTGGCCTCTGGGGCGCAATCCCGCGGATACGCGGTCGCACGGGCGCATTCCGCGCGGCGGCGTCCGAGAAAAACAAAGGCCCCGCACCCGCGGGGTGGCGGCCCGTGGATACGGACACGTCTTGCGTCCAGGATCAGCGGAGGGCGAGAGAGCAGAGTAAGCTCCAGGTGACTCCCGGACCCTCTGCTGCAACTCATAGGGACCCTTCCGTACCATCTGTAGAAGAAATGCCATAAATCTAAACGTTTGGAGATCCACGCGGAATTCTGGGATCCGTGCCGTACCCCCCTCCCTGGCGCGCGGAGCGCGCCAAGCACGGCGCCGGAGGCGCCGCCGGGGGGCCCAGCGCGAATCCTAGAAATCCGCGCGGAGCGCCAGCCCAAAGCTGATGCTTACTGTGTGCCGTTTCTTGTTCTTCGAACGTCATGGGGCCCGCCCATACCATGTTGTCAGGCCTTGAGAATCGACAGCAGCACTCCCGCTCCTCGCCCACCAGGT